AGGTCATGATCCCAGGGTCCTGGGAGCGAGCCCTGCATCGGGCTCCCTGCTCCGTGGGAAGCCTGCTTCTCCCTCTCCCACTCCCCCTGCTTCTGTTCCCTCTCTCGCTGTGTCTTTCTCTGTCAAAAAATAAATAAAATCTTAAAAAAAAAAAAAAAGAAAGGAAGGAAGGAAGACTCAGTTGTAGAAGCGTGAAAGTACTCACGGCTCTTTTAATCCACCATGCCTGGTTTCTCTTTCAAATTCTTCCTGCTGGTATTTTGCCTACAAACCTCTGTATGGCAGTTGGTTTGTCTATCACATAAGAGGGATAAATTATAAACAAACATTACAAATGATTGTATTTGCTGTTAGTTAAAAATGTGCATAGGTAAGGATAGAAGCAAAGACTTAATGGAAGTGGCAGAACTGAAGGAAAAATAATAAATTCTGATGTAGGCAGGTATTGATAGGCACCTGATAGAAACTTTTTTAAAGTACTTCAGCTACCATGTCCTTCTCTGATTCGATAATCCCACTCAAGATAATTAATCCCAGAAAATCATTCAAAAAGAGAAAAAAACTATATGTACAAACATATTCATAGATGGGTTTTTCACAATCTTGAGACACTAAAATCGATGTGAACTTAGGAGAAATATTTAAGTAAACTGTATCAATATCCAGTTATACTGTGTAGCTATTAAATTAATAAATGCCATGCTTCTGTAGAAGCATAAGGGCGTTTTTTTAAAAATTATTTATTTGAGAGAAGAGAGAGGGAGCAAGCTGGGGTGGGGGGGAGGGGCAGAGGGACAGGGAGAGAATCCCAAGCAGACTCCCCACTGAGAGCTCAGGGCTCCATCCCAGGACCCTGAGACCATGACCTGAGCTGAAATCAAGAGTCGGATGCTCAACTGACTGAGCCACCCAGGCACACCAGGGACATTTTTTATAATGAAAAGTGGATAAAACTAAAAATAAAATTGTAATTGATATGACTGTAATACATACTTAGATTATGCTTATGCAAATAGAAATAGACAAAGAATAAGAAGAAATAAAAATAGATTTTATTGAAGCAGTATCTTTTGAATTTGTTTTATTTTATATTGTTTTAAAGCACATTCAATAATAAATATTTTAACATTTAGTGACCATCCCAGACGGTACCTCAAAAATTCAAAAACATGCATTAAATGCTTTTGGCCTTGAAAACATGTAAAAATATATTTATAGACATATACAGTAACAAACATCTTTACATAAGTAAAACATGTAATTTATACTTTTATCTCAGTACATCCCATGACAGGGCACAAGGTGATGTCATGGGAAAAGACTCCCCTGGGAGTTGGCAGACCAGAGCCCTGGTCCAGGCTCCCCACATTCACAGGAGACCAGGCAGAGGATGTAGTAACACTCTAATCCTCAGGTTCCCAACTAGTAGAACATGAAGGGGAGAAAGAGCAGCCCAAGGGTCCCTCATGGGTTTTTTTTAAATTATTTGATTCTAGGATTCTAAAAGTAATAGCTTTTTATCTGTTGCCTAGTCAGGGACAGCTTGAAAAATAAGAAAATGCTCAGAATGTAGTGTGTTTTATTGGCTTTAGCCAATAAAGATCAATGCACGGCCAGGAAACAAACAAAGACACTTAATTCAACAGATATTGATTTGGTACCTATTATTCTAGGTATTATGACCAACATATAAAATGTCTGCCCTCATGGAGCTTATATGTTAAAGACAAGGGTGGACATAAGCAATAAACAAAATAAATAAAATACTTGATTGGTTACATGGTAATAAATGCTATGGAGAAACAAAAATCGGGGTGAGCAGGTCAGGGTAAGTCTGGAGGGGATTCTGGCAATTTCAAATAGCATATTCAGGGAAGGACCCTGTGAAAAGGTATAAGTGAGCAAAGGAGGAGATGAGGAAGCAGCTCTGAGGACACCAGGAGGCATTCCCACTGGGGTGGGAAACCCCTGGGGGATTTCACAGAGGGATGACGTGATGGACTTCCGAGCTAACAGGCTCGCTCTGGGCAGAGTGCAGAAGGACCAAGTGGATGCAGGGAGAATGGTTCGGAAGCTGCAGGATAGGTAGTGAGAGGTGGTTGCATTTGGGATGCATCGTGAAGGAAGAGGTTGCAGGGTTTGCTAAAGAACGGGATGAGTGGTAACGAAGAGAAAAAGAGGAGTGAAAGCTAACTTCAGATTTGGGGCCTGAGATGGTAAAGACTGGAGAGAGGTCAGGGTGGCTGTCGTGGAAGAGGACCAGGAGTCTGGCTTGGGTGAGTTCCAACGCCTACTAGGTATCGAGTGACCATCTCAGTCAAGCAGTTGGATAGACAAGTCTGGAGCCAGAGGTGAGGTTCTAGGCTAGAGTTATAAATTTGGGAATTAATTATCAGTACTTAGAAAATTTAAATGATACTAAAGCCATGAGACTGGCTGGATCACTAAAAGAAAGTGTGTCAATAGAGTAGAAAAGAGGTCCAAGGACTAAGGAGGAATCCAATGCTAAGAGTTTGAGAATCGAGCAGGTTCCAGCCAAGGAGATGAGATGGATCAGTTGGAGAAAAAACAGGAGAATGTAGTAGAAGCCAAGTGCAGAACGCATTTCCAAAAGGAGACATCATTTCTGGACAATCAGTTGTTAGTGGTTGAATCTACACTTGCAGATTTTCTATGGCAAGTGAGGATGTCATATGTATACACCAACTCCACTGAAGGATGTTCATGATCACACCTAGTGAGGAGAACTTATTTGCGTGTATGTGTGTTGTATCATTATATTCCAAATAGACATCACTTTTGAAACATCGAGTATTTCTGATTTTCCACACCTTTCCCTGCCTGCATCATCACAAATGATTATTTCTAATTGTTCTTATGATTGTTTTCTCATCTCATGGAAATGTTATCAAAATCAACGTGATTACAAATGAAAACAATCTAATTCTCAGTCATGTGGGTTTGCTACACTACACACTAAACATTACTTCTATTTATTTAAAATGTTGAATTTACATTAAATTATAAATATGTAATATTCCAGGAACTCATGGCACATTATAAAATGAAGCTGCTCTCTAAATGTATTCATCATAAGAGCATGTTGACCATATTTTCTTACTCAAACCGCCTTCTATTGCCAATCCTGCCTAAGAAATCTGGCTTTCTTACTCCCTTAGGAGATAAAGCATTTTATTTAAATCACCTTTCCTGATAGTTGCTCTAAGGGAAAGGAGAAAAGAAATAGATATAACTCACTGACAGCCTCAGGGTATAGACTTCCTGTCTCCATTCCTTTTAGCTTTTACTGGACATCAGGCTGCCAGTCTAGTAAGGCAACAAAGAAAAGTAAACAGAAATAAAAAGCAAAATAAATAGCAGTCTTTATCCCACTGGAAATAACCATAAATTTAAAAATGCAACCTTGGCTATATCGTGAAAGGATTTTCTTGGCCTGTTTGCATAGCTGTATTTTATTCTCTTCTGAACTAATCCAGACTTTTTTAAAGATTTGTATTGGACACCAATCTTATTTGCCCTAAAAATCTTTTGCAAAAGACATTTCTCCCGTAAATCGTGCTATATCTATGCCATGTGGCATCATCGTGCATACCCAAAGTATAGGTTCTAATCTACAGTGAAGAACTAGGTAGCATAATTCCTATGACTTGTGTTTTCATAGATGTACTGAGACAGAACACTAAATATAAGGGATATGGGGTAGCTTGCCTTGGCTTCACTGACAAATCTTTGACGTTAAGTCACGTATCCTACAAACCCATGTGCACCTGTCCCCAATGCCTTGGTCTGTTTTACAGTCTTCTTCTGGCATTATCTAATGAAAGCTATAAAAAGAGAATGTTTCCTTTCCATTACAACAGCAAAAAACATTTCAAGAATGAAGCCACAAAAATACCATACCACGTCACAGGTCCCATCTTAATAGTAGGTCTAAAAGTCGTTAGCATCAGACCATCACATCAGGTCAAAGCAGAGTTTCTGAGACCAAACTTTCTCTAGACTTAACATCGAAATGTGATTATTATTACAAAAATATTGAAGTAAAAAATAAGGTAAACAATTTCTTAATGCCAGTTTTTTGATTGACATCATTGTTCTGTTACATTTATGTTCTATATTTTGGTATGAACCATTCTTTTCTATTAGACTATAAAGCCTAAAGATTAGGGACAAAGGTAACTTTAACTCCATTTTATCTATTCTAGCATGGGACCATAATGGGAGAGATACAGTCATTCTTTGACATTTACCAAAAATGTTTACTTTTTAATGCTGTCACATGGCACAAGGCCACAGTACCAGATGTACGGTGAGAGTAAAGGAAAGGAGAAGATGATGGACTATTTATGCCTACAATTCACTTAAGGGTATCTAGATCTGCCTCATAGATAATGTTTCAGGTTTCTTTTTTTTTTTTTTTTGATTTAAATTCTAGTTAGTTAACCTAGCGTAATGTTGGTTTCTGGAGTAGAATTCAGGGGTTCATCACTTACATACAACACCCAGTGCTCATCATAACAAGTGCTATTCTTAATACCCATCACCCAGCTAGCCCATCCCCCACCCACCTCCCTTAAGTTTCTTTTTTAATATATAAAGAGAAATAAGATATGACCTGAATGAGTACCAGCAGCTTTCACTACTCCTTCCATCATCCAATTCTTCCCCCCACGTAAAAAAACACAGGCAAATCTATCTGATGCTGCCACATTATAATCTGTCACAAGATTTTGCCGAACCCCAAATGAAGATCTCAGACTTAGGCCTGCTGGGCAACTTATTCCCAGAGGGGTGGAACTCGTCATGATTCCACTTATTTTTCACATCAGGGCTCATGGAAAGTTCCTAAAAAGCCAATGATTCGTCATTGGCCAAGGGGAAGATCTTTCCAGCATTTCTAATTTCTTTAATTGAAATACATTTTAAATTTCCTAACAACTGCTTTCCTTCACCACCACCACCCCCCTTTTTTTTTTCAGGTACAGGGCAGTTGCCTCCTGGAGTCGAGTCCAGGGAATTGGGATTCCCTTGATCACTGCCATTGAGATAGTCTCCATCTGGATCCTTTCTTTTATCCTGGCCATCCCTGAAGCTATTGGCTTCGTCATGGTGCCCTTTGAATACAAGGGTGAACAGCACAAAACCTGTATGCTCAATGCCACGTCAAAATTCATGGAGGTATGGAGAGTATAAAGGAAATTAATTGGGGGGGCGGGGGAGGTCTTCATTTATACTTTACCATCGCCAAGACTTGATGGTAGTCTCTCTACAATGCCCAGCATGGTTTACTCCTTCAGTTCACTCATGTACTTTTCAGCTGCGTGAAAAGTACATGTTACAGGAGGGTTTCGCTTCTTGAACAGAATAACTATTTTGTTTTCACTCTTATAGCACAATTGTAGACACGACTGTTGTTGTGCACCAAACAACTCAGAATCTGAAACAAACTTACTCAGTGTTCAGTTCAGTAACACATATACTGAAGCAAACTAAGAAAGACAGATGTGCTATTTGTTTTTATAATAAGTAATACAGCACAACAATTTCCATCTGACAGGCATGCTGATAGGTATTTTATGTTACTTGGGCAAATGCACATTGCTCACATTTTTTAAAAGATAGAGTTATTAACTTAAAGTAGGAAGCCATACTTGCATGTACTTATATTCGTACAAATTCTGCATGTAATATACAAATAATATAAATTTGCAGAACTTCTTAAAAAGTGTTTTAGTTTGGGGCACCTGGGTGGCTCAGTTGGTTAAGCGACTGCCTTCGACTCAGGTCGGCTCAGGTCATGATCCTGGAGTCCCGGGATCGAGTCCCATATTGGGCTCCCTGCTCAGCGGGGAGTCAGCTTCTCCCTCTGACCCTCCCCCCTCTCATGTGCTCTCTCTCTCTCTCTCTCTCATTCTCTCTCTCTCTCAAATAAATAAAAGCTTTAAAAAAATGTTTTAGTTTAACAAATTTCCTTGTCGTTTAATACACCTGACCACATTAATGTCTCTCTGAAGTTTAATTATGTAACTGAATGTATTGGAAAACATGTTTAAAATGCACATTTCCTTTGCCAAACTAGTCAAATGTAGACTGAGGAGAAAAACCAAAAGGATAACTATTTCTCTTAAATCGGCATAATTTAGTGCTTTGATGTAGGTTTCATGCAGCTCAGATTCCACATTTAATCATTTACAGACATCTCCAGGTATGTTTTCCTAACATGGAAAATTCACAAAATTAGTGGTTTTACAGTTGACCAGTTCTCCTCTTTGGAAATTCGTATTTTAAATTTAAAAGTGTTCTTGAACTAGAGGGTAGTATGCTAAGCGAAATAAGTCAATCAGAGAAAGACATGTATCATATGATCTCACTGATATGAGGAATTCTTAATCTTAGGAAA